GGTAGTCTGATCGGAATCATTTATGGAGGCCCTTGCTATCTGTTGAAGACGATAGGCATTGGCTAACTTGAGACTTTTATAATTTTCACTCTTCTCGAAACAGAAAATAGCCTGAAGGTAATTTTATTCTTTAGTTTTCTCCTATCAGAATGAAAACAAACATTGAAATAACTTCAACCTGTTCATACTGCCGCGATTCAAAAAACTTCCTTCCCTTTCGGTTCCATTCCGCTAAACTGCGAGTAATTTCTTCATTTTGTGCATTTATCGTTGATGCAGAATTTGCTTCTTCGTCTCTTGTTTTCTTTTCTTGCTCTGCTTGTTTTTGTATTTTCTCATTTAATTTTTGAAGCTCTTCTTTGTATCGTGCGTTAATTAAAGTGAGTCGAGTGATTTCTTGATTTTGTGCATTTATCGTTGATGCCGACTCGAAATTTGCTTCTTCGTCTCTTCTTTTCTTTTCTTGCTCTGCTTGTTTTTGTATTTTCCCATTCAACTGTTGAACTTCTTTTTTGTATCGTGCGATAATTAATTTGAGCCGAACAATTTCTTGATCTGTTGAAAATATTTATCGTAATTAAAAAAGCCACAAAATCGAAACTTACCAGAATTCTGAATTAAATTGTTGAGGTTAAACAAGAAATTTTCAATATTCAATTTACATGCATTTGCAATTGCGTTCGCAATCAATGAATCATATTCTTCTAGAAAACGAACGGTCCCATTCTTTTGATTTGTAAAAGTAACACCAATCACTGCCAACACCTTACAATTATTCATGTTCTCTTTGATAAAACAATCTTTATATTTTCTCGCTTGCTCCGTAACTTTTCTAATTCGTTTATTGTCAACTGCGTCTTCATCATAAATCAATTTAACTTCGACCACTGCAAATACGCCGTATCCATTGGTCATAATTAAATCATTCTGGCCAAGATCCGGACGCCCTGGCACCGGTTCCCACTCAACTTCCCAAAGATATTTAAATCCAGGTAAATATTTATCCGTATTATTCAGAAATATTTCTTGCCATTCTGCTTCTTGTGCATTATTTGCCGTTGATCTAAATCGTGGCCAGGTTATTCGTTTTAGTGCATCCCGCATGATGATTGTCTCTTCGATCACATAGTGTGATTGGATGTGTTGGATTGCAGCTGTGAATATTTGAGGAATTGCTTCTTCTTCCCATGTATATTGATTAAATGAATCATGTATAAGGTTGGGTAGAAATGGTACATTGTTAGTTTGATCTAATTTCTGTTTCGATTTTGAAGTTGAATATATAAAAAAAGTCTTTTTTTTATTAATTGAAGTGAAAAGTAATTTGAATTTTAACTTTTCATCATCTTTGAGAATTTCGTTTTTAATAATATTTGACATTGTTTTCGTGAGAATAATATCGAGATACACACACTGTAAAATGGTGAACCTGTCTTCTACATATAGACAAGTGTTTGTGTATGTGTGTTACCATTACGAACTTTCTCTTCCGATTATCGCTATCCCTAACGCTAATCCCCTGTAGAAATTCCGATTTGGATGAAAAGAATTCTACCTCAAAGTCACATAAGAAACGTAGCACGAAAATTTTTTACAATCGAATAAATGTACCCGATTTTTAAAGCTAATAACCTAAAAAAAAGCCTAAAAATATATTAATGTTGCTAATTCTAGCTAAATAAGCAAAATAAGCAAAATATTAAAACAAAAATAAAAATTTGAATTCTTGCTTTCCAACAAAAAAATTCCAAACGATAGTTTTTGATACCCAGCGAATGAAATTACACAAAATTAACACCGATCACTGGTATCTCGCATACATGTGTTTTGTTTTTAATACTTGTTTTTAATACTTTATTAATGTTTTTTGTACAGTCCCCGGCGAAAAGAATGGCCGTCTTCTTTTTTTGCCGTAGCGTCTCCATTTTTCCGATTTGGACCATTGTTTATATTACCAAATCGGGGGCTCGTCTAAAGCGGGGGCAAATCACGTGAATCAATAATGATTGGTTAGAACATACGAATGATGATTAGCCAGA